GATGCTAATGATGAAAAATTATATGGGACCATGGAGAAGACACTTCGTTTGCTTGAAATGGGTTTCTCTGAGAACCAAGTTTCTTGGGCAATCGAAAAGTTTGGTGAGTCTTTCATATCATTTACTCCACTATACCTGAAAAGTAAAGAACGTAAACTGTTGAAATTTATTTTGGATGTAAGAATTTTTTTAGAGGGGCATTGTAACTGTTCAAATAATACCTATCACAACCTTTGTGCTAATATAATCATTATTGTTGGCATTACAACCGTACTTCATTCAACACAAAACAAATTGCTTTGAACTGTCAATTGTTACTTGCAGTCTACTGGATTTTCAATGGAAGTGGCTGAGTCACTTGTAACATTATTTGCTTAATTTCATCTTCTTGTTATGTGGGTGATACTTTTTTTATTTGCTTATTGCCGACTCTTATTTAACAATCATTTGTTGTTTCAGGTTCAAGAGCTCCAATTGGAGATCTTGCAGACTCAATCGTTGCATATCAAATTTCTGATGACTGTTATAAAGAAAATAAGGTCAGAATGCATTTTTATAATCAGTTATTGACTTTTCAAGTGCTGACGTACTTTGTATATTTGTTTAGATTCCCATAGGCCCAACAAATTTTTAATAGTGTTCTTCAGTATCAAAGCAGCTGCAACTGCAAGGAGTTCATTCTAATGGAAAGTTATATGCTTATGAATATTTGGCCGCGCATGTCTTTGTACCAAATTGTGTTGGCAACCTTAACCTAATGTTTTCGATCTTGCAAAGAATTATATATTTTATTTATGAAATCAATGGCCTAAGAGGACCTTACCAATTTTTGGATGTGCATGTGGAAGTATTGATGTTATCATTTATTATTAATCTTGCTTGTTTTATGGGTCTGTTCATTTATTATTACAAGTTAGTTGTTGAAATATATGTTAGCATCTTTGAGGGCTATGTTCATTACTTGTTTGCTCTCTAAACATGCATAGTCTTCTCATTCATCATTTAGATTGGTTTACTAATGTTTGGAACAATATATCTAGCGCAGTACTCAGTCCATTCAAACCATTCACGCACTGGAGTGGGTTCTAGGTTTTTTGCTACAGGATCATATGATTCAGTTAAAGTTGAAAGCGGGGAATTTCATCCGCATACAGTTTCTCAATCAAGGGATTGCAACGCATTAAACACTTCTTTAGGGAAGAGGCCTAAGCAAGAGTATAATGATGATGATTCAAATGTTGTTCCAACCGTTTTTCCTCAGTTCAGGGCATTCAAACATGTTGCTTTCGAAGAAAAGCGTAAAGGAAAAAGGCCAAGACAAGAGTATGTTGATAATTCAAGCTCTTTCGTTGACCAAACATGGATGGAAGAAAAAGTTGACCCTATAATTGGCAATCTTGAAATGCCAAAACTCTTCAAAAGCAATCCTTGCAAGAGTGTGAATCGAATGATGGCCAAACCTCCATATTTCTTTTATGGAAATATTGTGAATTTAGCATATGATTCATGGGCAAAAATTTCTCAGTTCTTGTATGGACTGGAGCCTGAATATGTGAATACTCAATTCTTCTCGGCCTTGAATAGAAGGGAAGGCTATGTACACAATCTCCCAACTGAGAACAGGTTTCACATCCTTCCGGAGCCACCAATGACCATTGAGGATGCAATACCACATACAAAGAAATGGTGGCCTTCATGGGATACAAGGAAGCAATTGACATGCATCTGTTCTGAAACTAGTGGCATATCTCAGCTTTGTGATAGGCTTGGAAGGGTACTTTCTGATTCTCGTGGATTGCTCTCATCTGAGCAGCAGAGAGACTTCATTCATCAATGTCGTTCGTTAAATCTTGTGTGGGTTGGACGATACAAGCTGGGCCCCACAGAGCCTGAATATTTAGAACGTATCCTAGGCTACCCACTGAATCACACTCAAGCTGCTGAGAGTAGTTTAACAGAAAGACTTCTTTCACTCAAATTTTGCTTCCAGACAGACACATTGGGTTATCATCTCTCTGCGTTGAAATCTATGTACCCAGGAGGATTAACAGTGTTCTCAATTTTCAGTGGAATCGGTGGGGCAGAAGTTGCTTTACATAGGCTTGGCATTAGTTTGAAAGGTGTTGTATCGGTGGAGACGAATGCAACAAAAAGGAAGATTCTAAGAAGGTGGTGGGAGAATACTGGACAAATTGGGCAGCTGGAGCAAATTGAAGATGTTCATAAGCTGACAAGCACCAAACTTGAAAGTCTGATGAAGAAATTTGGTGGTTTTGATTTGATTATCTGTCAGCACCCATGCAGTGACTTAATCACTAAGATTTCTCCACAAAGTGAAAGTCTCCCAGGTTTTGACTTCTCCTTGTTTTATGAGTTTGTTCGTGTTTTGCAACGCGTAAGAACTATGTCGGAAAGAAAGAGGTGACAGCTTTTGCTGCCCTTTATATTTCATTCTGTGGTACATCTAACTTGTTGAGGATAACTAGATTCGTTCTTTTATGAAAAATTGAGCTTGAGAATGTCATGCCAATGTCTTTTAGATAAATTTAAAGCATACATGCAGAAAGATATAGCTTTGCATAAGTTGCGAAGTTGATGATGATGATGATGTCGATACTTGGATGTTAGCATTTAACATATGCTGGCCGTTGATGTGCATAAGTTTACAAATTGATGTGATTATTCAAGACTTAGACTACTCTTGTATGTAATGAAATGTATCTTTAGGTCATGGAAATTTTCATGAGCAAGTTGATGAATAAGTTGACTACTATATCCGTCTTGCTGTCAAGTGTCATGGTTGGATCCCCGACTTGACTAGACAAGCGCAGGAACAAATCATCCCACGCCAAGAATTCCTTATGTTGGAGAATTACTTGTTGGCCAACTATCAAATCAGTCAATGCTCAAAATACACAGAATGTAGAACTACTGTTGCTGATATTTGTGTAGGTTTAATTTGTCTTTTGCCTTGAAGTTTCTACGGCCTAGACCTAAAGAATTTGGTTTTGAGTTTTGTGCTAGACAAAATCATCTAGATTGCAATCCCCCATGAAGAAGACTTTACAATTGCCTTCACCTCCACTGTACTTGAAGGAACAAGTCGGGGGAGTTGATTGTTGGTCTAGAACTAGAATAGTTGGGAAAGTATGTAGCTCACAAAGGCCCCTCCACTCCACTGTACTTCCGTCCAATGCTCTATTTTTTTTTCTTTTTCGCTTATTAATTTCAATTGACAACGTGTTGAAAGTTAGCCATCTGGTTGAATCTTATGGTCGTAGTCATTGAGCTGTCCCTTGCCATAGTTTGTCGCAATGTTAAAGGAAAAGACAAACGTCCGAATAAAGATGGGAAATTGTATTATAAATAAAGAACCGACGAAGGCAATAATTGAGCCTTCACACAAATTTTGAGATTGTTTTCAGTACATAATATTATACTTATTGCGAATAAATTCGTGGAATAATAATGCTTTCAACTACTAGGTTTGTGTTCAATGAATTCAAGTGGTAGCCACATTCGAATAATATGATTCATAATCATAACTTGGCTTTCCCCATAGAAAAGTCAGATAATCAAAGCCAACCACTTTTGTTAATTTTTCTCAATGTTGATGGTTAATTTTCTTATACTGGGACCTGTGGACAGGATATTCCGACTGGAAAAAGCTTTCTTCTTTTTGAACTCTTGATCGTCAATGATGGGCAATGATAATAGTGGAGGGAAAAATTTGGAGTAGATTACGTCCCGTTAAGGGTCCCATAAGCATGGCGAATTAATCCATTTATAACAGGAAATTCTTAGATTTAATAATGAAATAGATCAAAAGGCAAATGTCTGAAAGAGAAATTTTTGAGTGTGATTATCACACCGTCAAATGATATTATTAATTCACATACTATAAAATGGATGTATGACATAGTCGATATTTCATAGACCTATAGTATAAATGCGATTTGATCTTTTAGCATGTTCTAATGTTACAAAATGTATGAAGCTTCAAGTCCCTTCTTCCTAAAACTTTTTATTAAAAATTAATTAATTAGAAAAAAAATATCATAGTCTTTCTCATTTGGGCCAAGCCGGCTTGGAAGGCTATGGACCGGACCATGAGCCAAAAGGTTTCGGGTTTTCATAATATCCAGGACAGTAAGTCAACTAGTCAACAGGAAAAAGAAATTCACCGCCTTATCAGAAACATGATTAATTTATGATTGCGATGGGATGACGTTGAAACTCAACTACTAATTCTAGGTTTTATACTATAGATCTTTGTTTTCATCCACAATACACGTCTAAACGTTCCATCACCGACTCACAAGGTGCGGAGGGGAAAATCTAAAGTTATTTTAAACAATCACCCTTATTTTGAAAATGAAAAATAAAAAATGTTACCAAACATGTTTTCAGCTTTTAAGTTAAAAATAAGAATCTCAAGTTCCCAACATAAAGGGAGACTATCAAGACTTTAGCGAAATGGATGTTATAAAAAAGAATATAAGTAAATTGTGTTATTTAAATATTCATGTCTAGTAATATATCTCTTCTTAATGTTGATAATGTAACTCAATAATTTCACAGTAAATTAATGTTACTTGAAAATTTGCCCCCTCTAAAATGGGGAGAAAAAGATGTTTGCACAAGGAAGTAGCAACTTATTATTTACATATTTTACCATTCTTATTAACATTTTGTAAATACAGAGGCTCGGAATCGGTCCTTATTAATACTCGTCTTATTTTAATTTTCTCATTCGGACATCCTAAGAAACATGAGGAACATATGTCTAGGCAAGTAGGGCGAGTTAATGCACCACTACAGTCTACATCCCATTTTGTTCTCCAATTCACATAAACAGATATACTTTTCTAATCTAGGATAAAATATTAAAATATAAACAAATTAATTTATTAATTTATTAATTTATTAATTTTTTACAACAATGATATACTATACAACATAGAGAAACTGCTTGGCTACTGCTTTACAGGCTAGCTTGCCGTGGACTGGCTGGCGCTTTCTCTCTCTCTCTCTCACAAACACTCAACCACTTTCACACACATTTTACTGAAAAGCACCCTCCTTTAAAAACCAGAAAAATCAAAGCAGCTACCTTTTCTCTTACTTCCCATTATCAGAACTTTTATGTCTGGTTGGTGAGTATTTCATGCTGCATCTACTTTGAATCTTCTTTCTTTCTACGTATTTATTTATGTTTCTTTCCTTTATACTCAGCTTTTCCGCGGCCACTTTACTACGAGTCTCCACCACAAGCATTAGATTTGTTGTTTCTTTTTTCTTTCCTTGTTTTGGGGGTGTGGGAGGGATTGGTGTTCCCTTTCTTTGCTGTTTGGCACTGATAGTGATGTTCCATTCATTCATTCTTGACCCACATTACTATCAGCATCAAATCTACAATTACCTTCTCTGCACTTTTCAAGCAGCTTATATATTCGAGTTTTGCTTACAACCCTTATGTGCGTCCTGTTTGTTTGAAGGTAAAACAAACCAAAGGGTTGTCTTTTATGTACTTGAATGATCCAATGCCATTCTCATTCTGAATATTTCTCTGCATTCTTTTTCTGGGTTTGAAGCTTGGCATGCTTATAAGCTTTTGATGGTGTAATGCGGTTAATATTTTTTTATTATGGGTTGTCGGTAAACAGAAAAAATATAAATGTCAATTCTGAGTCATCTTGCATCTATCAAGATGCATTCGATTTAGTTCATTTACTGATGTTGCTTCATTGATGTCTTTTCTTCTTTAATGTAGATTTGGAGTTGTCAAGGCTCACCTTAGTGACCTTGGTAATGATCTAACTTGTTGTAAAGCCTGGTTCTTTGTCTACAACTTTGAGATTTGGTATTATTGCTTAAGCATTCAAGAAAGTGGAACCATGGAAGAGACATTTGTACCATTTCGGGGAATCAGGAATGATCTTCAAGGGAGATTGATGTGTTACAAGCAAGACTGGACTGGTGGTTTGAAGGCAGGCTTCAGGTATATCTTCTCTTGGTATCATCATATTACAGGATACTGCATTGTATTCAACTGTAAATATTGCGAAATTTTGGTTGAAATATTATTCTGGTTTGCTAACTTGTTTAACTGTCTCAGGATTTTGGCCCCCACCACTTACATATTCTTTGCATCAGCCATTCCAGTTATTTCATTTGGTGAACAATTAGAAAGAGATACAGGTAATATTTTATACCGGATACTCCATTGAGTGCCTTGTGGTTTTCGGTGTGAGTTGAAAATGCTCCTTATATCGAATGATTGATAAGAAAAATCTATAAATCTATATTTATACATTATGCATTACGCATTAGTGTTCCAAATTTATGGTTTGGCATCATTTCTGGTGTTGACAGATGGGGTTCTCACAGCAGTTCAGACGTTAGCATCTACTGCTTTATGTGGAATTATACACTCGATCCTTGGGGGTCAGCCTTTGCTGATTCTCGGAGTTGCAGAGCCAACTGTGATTATGTACACATTTATGTTCAATTTCGCCAAAAATAGACCGGATTTGGGATCAAAGCTCTTTTTAGCATGGACTGGATGGTATCATCTTTTCTTGGTGCTAACAAATGGATTGAGATTGTGATTTCTGATGTTAACATTAATCTCTCTATCTTGCAATTATCCTTTTCTGGAAAAAAAAATCATGGGCAACTCTTTTTTGACTTCGAATCTGCCTTTATTACATTGATGTGCAGGGTGTGCGTCTGGACTGCAATATTGCTGTTCCTGCTGGCTATATTAGGGGCTTGCTCCATTATAAACAGATTCACTCGTCTTGCAGGAGAGTTATTTGGCCTTCTCATTGCAATGCTTTTCATGCAGGAAGCTATTAAAGTAGGAACATCCTACTCTTTCTATCCCTGAATTTTTACTGGCTTAATGAAAAATTGCTTCCTTATTTCACTTGTAGTTTACGATTTATGTTAAAAGAGACAGGAGACTTGGAGTAATTGTTGTTCTGCATTTTCTAGCAGTACCAACTTTTTTCTAGATGTAGTTCTGAATTGTATTTTATAGGGACTAGTTCATGAATTTCGCATACCTGAAAGAGAAAACCCAAAGTCAGTTCAATTTCAACCTTCATGGAGATTTGCAAATGGGATGTTTGCTTTGGTTTTGTCATTTGGCCTTCTACTTACTTCTTTAAAAAGCAGAAAAGCAAGGTCTTGGCGGTATGGGTCTGGTAAGTCCATTTTTGTTCAGAGTTACATGCACACATGTAAAGTTGCCTATTTATTAGTTTGCATACCCTACAAGAGATTGATCCAATTAAATGTTTCCTTCTCGCAGGGTCGCTCCGTGGTTTTGTCGCAGATTATGGTGTTCCATTGATGGTGTTGATCTGGTCTGCTGTTTCCTATATACCTGCTGGAAATGTTCCAAAAGGAATTCCAAGGCGCCTCTTCAGTCCAAATCCATGGTCACCAGGAGCATACGAGAATTGGACTGTCATCAAGGCATTGCCACATCCTCTACACGATTGATATGTCCTTTTTGTTTTTCAGCTTGATACATGAGGATATTAATGGTTTATGCTAAAATTACAGGACATGCTAAGTGTTCCAGTGATTTATATAATTGGAGCTTTCATTCCAGCAACAATGATTGCAGTGCTGTACTATTTTGACCACAGTGTAGCTTCCCAACTTGCTCAGCAGAAAGAATTCAATTTGAGAAAACCACCTTCGTTCCATTATGATCTACTTCTCTTAGGGTTCATGGTATGCAAATTCCCCTCACAGCGTCATTCACTTTTTCTGTAATGCTCCTGCCAGAAAGTTCAGTGGTTGCAAAAAGGAAAGAAAAAAAAAGCACCCAGTTTCCATTTGCTTTGAGATTGAGAGGTTTTTGCAACATGACAGGTCATAATATGTGGTCTCATAGGCATTCCCCCATCCAATGGTGTCATACCACAATCTCCAATGCATACGAAAAGCTTGGCCACACTGAAGCACCAGGTAGGCATATGGAATAGAATCAATGAAGTCTAGTAAATTGCAATGCTTTCATTTTCAAAGCTTGTCTATCAGTTGCGTTAGTTGAGTGGCTCCACCTCACTGTTCTCTGTTCAGTAACCAGAGGTTGTAACTTGTAAGTTTTAACACCAACTCAGTGACCCTTAAGGACCCAAAAGGGCACAAATTAAACACTAAAATGTGTTCGGAACATGGAGATGCACATATTGACACACAGCCAACCATCCACTCTTTTGTGATTTATATTATCTTTACAACGATGCAGTTATTACGCAATCGACTTGTAGCGACAGCAAGGAGATGTATGAAAAACAATGCCAGCTTGGGACAAGTATATGGAAGCATGCAACAAGCATATCAACAGATGCAAACCCCACTAACATACCAGGAACCTTCAGCTCGGGTATGATGACTTGATATGCCGTTCACCTTTTCATTCTTTTGTTCATTCTTATGATAACAATGCTAACCGTTGTTCAACCTTGCCTGAACCCTGAGAGCAGGGATTAAAGGAATTGAAGGATTCAACTTTTCAAATGGCTTCAAGCATGGGGAACATAAATGCTCCAGTTGATGAGACAGTGTTTGATGTTGAGAAAGAGATTGATGATTTATTGCCTGTGGAGGTGAAAGAACAGCGGCTCAGCAACTTGCTTCAAGCTACTTTTGTAGGAGGATGTGTTGCAGCCATGCCTTTTCTTAAAATGATCCCTACATCGGTACTCTGGGGTTATTTTGCCTTTATGGCTGTTGAGAGCTTACCAGGTAACCAATGTTGGGAGAGGATTCTACTGCTTTTCACAGCCCCAAGTAGAAGATACAAGTAACCTCTTGACCCTTTTTGTCCTAACGCACTCTTTATTTTGTTTTACCAATTTTTCAACAAATTTAATTGAACTACGTTCATTCTCATCTTCAGAGTACTTGAGGAATACCACGCCACTTTTGTCGAAACAGTACCGTTCAAGACAATTGCAGCATTCACAATTTTCCAAACTGCTTACTTGTTTGTATGCTTTGGAATTACATGGATTCCTATTGCTGGGGTTCTTTTCCCATTAATGATCATGTTTCTGGTTCCTGTTAGACAATACGTTTTGCCCAAGTTCTTCAAAGGGGCACACCTTCAAGATTTAGATGCTGCAGAGTATGAAGAGGCACCTGCTTTACCATTCAACCTTGCAACTGTAAGTTTTCATTCTCTCACACACTGTTTCCTAATACACAGGACCTGCAATATGCTTAAGTGTTACCTCTTAGGAAGTGCATAAACCGAAATTGGATAGACGCCTTTTGGCAATGTTTGCAAAACAATTCATGAACTGGTTAATCAGTGTGTGATAAATCTGGATGCATACTTCTCTTTTTTAGAAAAAGAATAGAAGCATACAATAATTTGTACACATAAAAGGGCCACTTGGCGACTCACTTCAACTTATACATCTTGTTCATTCGATGTGTTTCACATCAGGAGCGGGAGATGAGTAGGCAAGCTTCATTTGCAGATGATGGAGAGATTTTAGATGGGATAGTTACTAGAAGCCGGGGCGAGATCAGGCATATCTGCAGTCCTAGAATGGCAAGTTCAGCTACAACACCATCCAAGGAATTCAAAAGTATACAGAGCCCACTGTTCTCAGATAAGATATACAGTCCTCGTTTAAGTGAGCTGAGAGGTGAGCCAAGTCCTCAGAATGGTGGAAACGGTCAATTTAGTCCAACGACTGGAGAAGCAAGATCATCTAATCTTGCGAAGAGTGGTTGAACCTTAGAAGTTAGAACTTAGATAAAAATGGAGCAAGTATTACCTGCAAATTATAGTCAAAGTACTTCAGAGTAATGGGGGTTTGGTTTTGTGAACATGCAGGAAATCTGCAATGGCATTTCCCCATCTTCTACTTAAGTTAATTCTAAATGTGGCAATTTGTTGTAAAGTGATCTAATTCTGTGAAATGTATTGATTGGAGGAGATTTGTAAGTTGTAACCACAAAAATCTATCAATGCCACTATTGAATATGAAGGAACTTTATACTTATAATTTTTTTCGCCAAATGAAGAAGACTACAATGTAGCATCTTCATCTTTCCATGGAAAATGATGGTATCGATGGGCGAATCATGATATTTTTTTTTTTTTGGACGAAAAATGGGCGAATCATGATATTTTTTTTTTTTTGGACGAAAAATGGGCGAATCATGATTTTGTTAATTAATGGTGTCTGGAACATGGAAGGCAACATTCCAATGCACCTAACAACTACTTATAATTTTTTTTTTGTCAATGCAGGGCAGAGAAACAACGTCTGAACTGTTAAAAATATTCTCTCTTCATTTCCTTTTGGGGGAGAGGATGACACTGTTAAATTGCTCAATGCCATCATTTTACACATCGGGAACCTATATTCGCACTCTATGTACAACTCCCACTCTCACTAGACTCTATCCTGTGAGAGTGCGGAGGCTCCTTGGAGAGCGCGATTCGTGTCACCCTTTACAGATTTGGAGAGGCAAAGTAAGATGAGTGGCCACAGTTCTCTCATGATTGCACGGGCGGAACTACCTAGTGGGCTATATCGGGCTATAGCCCAGGTAGCTTTTTGAGAAAGAAAATATTAAACCTATATAGCCCATTGGTTGAGGCTATCATCTTGTAGCTTCTTGGCAGTTTCTCACGTAAAGAAGATTGCAATTTGCAAGGAAGATTGCAATTTGCAAGTTGAAGTCCCACATAAAGAAAAAAAAAAAATCCTAATATCCTAATTGGTCCCACATAATGAAGTATCCTCAATTATAATAAAATATGTCAAAATAAAAAATATACATGTGAAACTTAGCCCTAGCAGCGGTCCTAACAAAATACATGTTGCTTTTTGTATTCTTTGTTACGAAAGTCTCATAGATAAAATTCTTATCCCTAACTCTCTAATTTTAATATTTTCATTGATTTGTCTCCATAAGAGAGATTTGTCTCAATGAAATTCTCCATTTTACAAATAATATGAAACGAAAAAGTCACAAAGATATCATTTGATAGATAGGTTAATTAGCAACAAGATGGATTCATATGACAATAACAAAATATTTCAATTCTCTCAAGGATCTCAGGGCACAACTTTAATAGGTGTTGAGACCCAAAAATCCAAGGGTTGGGCCCAAGTTTATTCCTAGCCCAGCACAAATATTTGATTACAAAAGGGGCCCAATTGGGACATAAAGGAACTCGTAGGATGCACCTGCACGAGCCATGAGCCACGTGTCACGCCAAGCAAACGTGCATGCCCGCCATGCAAAGGGGGCCAAAACGCACCGACTCTATAAATTCACACTCACTAACCTATCCAATGCTACTTGGCCTGATCATAGCTTATTGTGGCATGATGGAACTTAAGCACAAGCATGCTGAATAAACACATAACGCCATGTAAAGGACCGCTATTCTAATACCATGCCGTGCTACAGGCTTAAGTCGGCCCAAGCCACGTAATTACCCGGGGCTTGCTGAGAAGGTTGTGGTGTGGACGGGTACGAGCACTGACAGGGCTCATTGAGGGTTCAAGGAATGAAAATTTTAGGCCACTTGGGAGCACTAAAACTCAAGCCTATTCCTCGGGCCCAAACACATGGGTTAGCATGAGAGAGGGAAAAAAGTGATCCAATGCCTTAGGAGAACATCTCATAGTCTGCTGCCACACTTAGACAATCTCAAGTTAGTTAAAACGCCCAAAATAAAGCAAATAGGCTTCTTCCAGCAGCTTGACGAAAACACGCAGGCCACTGGAAAGAGAGTACCAATAACCCGATACTATAAACAAAGCCCAGCCCAGCGCCTTGTTAAAAAATCTAGCATCGTATTCCACCCTTGTCAAAGCTCCATAACAATCAACGAGAAGCCATTGCAGGAACCAAAGGAAATCCACGTGTAGGAAGAATACCCATTGGACAAACGACTCTATCCATTCTTTTTTTCCTCTGCGAGCTCTAATTTGAAAACCAAGGAAGAAAGCAGGTGGCGCCTCACCCCCATAGGGAGGTCCAGCTGCATAGAAAACCTTGGAACTCCAAAGAGCCTGTGACCCATGCGCTCTGGTTGAAGAGATTTCACCAAAAAGGAGTGAATGGAAAAAAGCAAAGGAAAAGTGGGAATGGAAGATCGATAGAATTAGGGTTCTAAGCGCCTATAAAAGGGGGCTTTCTCTACCCAGCAAGATCATCATCTAGAGCGTGACCAAGCTTTGTCAAGCAACTAGAAATTTACTCTAGACACCATATCTTCTACTTCCATTGTTTTCTCCCTTTCTAAGATAGAAATCCTCCTAATTTTCCTCTTCCCCTACTCTGAACCTTTTCTCTCTGTAAGAAGTTCACGCTCCTGTCTCTCTCTCTCTCTCTCTCTCAAATTGCTAAACTTGTGAACGCTTAGTGAAGAGAATTAAACAGACTGATAAGATAAAGGTAAGGCTCTTTTCTTATTGAGTCTTTGTTTGTTACACAGTGAGTATATATATACACTTATCAGAGATTGTTCTGGAATTCTCATAAAATTACAAAAAGGGTGCTAGGTATGTATATGATGGAATGAACGGTGTGATCATCAACCATTGTCCTTGCTATCAGAATGTGCTGGCAGGTTGTTATGGGTGTGTAGAGTAATTGATTGGTGTATGGGTGTGCTGTGTTTTCTGGTGTGAGAAATGGTACTGTTATCAGCCCCGTCACAGTAGAAGGTGGGTGCATGTGAGAGATGAACATGAAGGTCCTTGAGAAGAGCGCAGATCCAGATGGCTTCAGCAGCAGAATTGGCTAAAGCACGATACTCGGCCTCGGTTGATGAACGAGCAACGGTGGGTTGCTTTTTAGCAGACCAAGAGACAAGATTAGATCCCAAAAAGATGCAAAAACCAGATGTGGAGCGGCGGTCAACCGGGCAACCAGCCCAATCAGCATCAGAAAAGATAGTTAGAGAGTTGCTGCCTTTTTTGAATTGTATACCAGAATTAGGTGTGTGTTTGAGGTACCGGAGAATTCGTTTGGCAGAAGTGAGGTGTGGAGTACGAGGATTGTGAAGGTACTAACATACTTGGTTAACAGAGAATGAAATATATGGTCTGGTCCAAGTAAGATATTGGAGAGCACCGATAAGAGACCGATAGGAAGTGGGATCCGGAAGGAGATCGCCTGTGGTGGAGTCAAGTTTGGTTGTGGATGCTGGGGACGGAAAAGGTTTGGCATCAAGCATGTTATGCTTGGCAAGGAGATCGTAGGTGTACTTGGATTGGGAGAGAAACAACCCATTGGTGTGGCGATGAACTTCAAGACCAAGGAAGTAATGAAGGGGCCCAAGATCTTTCATGGAGAATTTGGAGCCGAGTTGAGAGATGAGCTGCTAGCAATAGGAGGCAGAGCTGCCTGTCAAGACAATGTCATCAACATATACCAAAAGAAAGGTGATGTGGGAATCAAACTTGACAAATAATGTGGGGTCAGCCATAGAGGGAGAGAAACCCATAGTAAGGAGAGCATTTTGGAGTTCTTCATACCAAGCCCGTGGGGCCTGTTTCAACCCATATAAGGATTTGTTTAATTTGCAGACATAGTTGAGCTTGGTGGGATCTTGAAAGCCAGGAGGCTGGGCCATGAAGACATCCTCATGTAAGTGGCCATGCAAGAAGGCATTAGATACATCAAGCTGGGAGATAGGCCAATCATGTTGAACAGTGAGAGATAGAATGATGCAGATCGTGGTGGGCTTTGCAACAGGGCTGAAAGTGTCAGTAAAGTCCACTCCTTCTTGTTGATGGAACCCTTTGGCTACTAAACGGGCTTTATATCGCTCAATTGTTCCATCGGCCTTTTGCTTGAGACGAAAAACCCATTTACAGCCCACCAAGTTGTAGTTGGGGGTTGGGGGAACCAAGGTCCAGGTCCGAGTTTGATGGAGAGCCTCAATTTCTTTGTGCATTGCAGATGACCAGTGGGGATCTTTTGCTGCTTGAAGATAGGTGGTTGGAGTGGTGGAAGATTTAGTGGTAGTGAGGGCATAAGGGAAGGGATGTCGGGTAGTAAGAGCTTTGGGTTTGGTTATGCCACTTTTGGATCGGGTTTGCATAGGATGGGTATTAGAAGGTGGCGGTGGCGGCGGTGGGGGGGTGATTGAGGGGAAGGCGGGGTTAAGGGTGGAGTGGGTGAGGGTTGTAAGGGTATAGGCGAGGAGGAAGGGGCTGGGATTGCGGGTTGGGTTGTATTTGGAATAAAGAATGGAACTGGCAAAAGATGAGGTGATGTGGTGGAGTTGGGGCAAGGAGAGGAGGACAAGGGAGAAGGGGAAATTTTGAAAGGGAATTGGGATTCATCAAAGGTGACGTGTCGGGAGATATAAACTTTTCCAGTGGATAAGTCAAGGCAGCGGTATCCTTTGTGCTGTATGGCATAGCCGATAAGGATACATCTGGCACTCCGAAAGCTTAGCTTGTGTGAGGTGTATGGCCTGATCCAAGGAAAACAGAGGCAACCATATGCTTTGAGAAAGGCATAGTCAGGAACACAATTAAATAATGTTTGTAAGGGACTAAGGTGATGTAGCAAAGAAGAGGGTAATCGATTGATCAAGTAGACAGATGTCTAAGCAACTTCCACCCAATACTTGATAGGCAATGCAAATTGCGCAAGTAGGGTTCGAGTCAGCTCAAGTATGTGGCGATGCTTTCGCTCAGCCAATCCATTTTGCTCAGGTGTATGCGGGCAAGAGAATTGTTGAGCAATGCCTTGATTGGCCAAAAAGGTTCGAAAAGAGGAGCTGGTGTATTCACCGCCATTATCACATCGCAAAGCTTTAATTTGTAAATTAAATTGGTTTTCAACAAGAGATTTGAATTGTTGAAATGTAGGAAAAACTTCCGATTTGCAGTGTAAAGGATAGAACCAGGTAAATCGAGACCAGTCATCAATAAATGTGACATAATATTTAAAGCCAGTTACAGAAGAGATA